GGTGCATCTCCAACCAAGGATGCATTATGATAGCGGGCGCAACTGATGATTTTGTTTCGTATTCAGGCATGGGTTTCCGAATTTGACCAAAAACCTGTGACAGTCGTGCCGATGGCGGGTCAAATTCTTAACTTTGCAACCAAGCAAATCTCAACAAAATATCTGCGAATAGGGTGGCTTCCGTTGACCACATGCCTGCTGCCATCACAAGTTACCGGACGGCGACTGCTACCTTCCCCTATCCCTCCGCAGTAAGCAACCAAGCTCCTCTCGCCCCGCCGCGCTCGCGCTGGCTGACTCCGCGTGCCAGGCTTCGGTCAATCGGTCAGTGCTACCAGCGGCTCTCAAACTTTTCCGCCCAACGGCGGCTGGAACAGGTGGCGCCTTCGCTCAGAGTCGCGATACTTTCAAGAGAGACTATACAGGCCAGACCGTTGCACCTACATAGTGCGCTGACTTTTGCGCAACTTATAGAACAAGGATGGGGAACGTGCCTGTGAGGGGTCTCAGCTCGATCGGGCCGGTGGTGAGCACATGGCGCGTGCTCAAAAAGTGCAAATTCGCGTCATAGACTTTACATGTATAAATCGGCTTGCAAAATTGGGCGAAAATGGCTAAATCTGCCCGACACGGGTCCGGTCCCCGTGCAGTATCTCGGTAACCGTAGGTCCGATCGGCATGGGGAACACAGTATCGTAAATGAGGATCGAACGGGCTATCGAATGGTGAGCGGTGCAGGGATGTCACGCGCCACGTGCACCCGTGAGGGCACTTATGCTTGAAAAATTGACGTTTCGGACGGATTTTGGACTTAATGCTAATTTCGGGTGACTGTCAGACGGAGCGGGTTCAAACAACGTCTGTTGGCAAGAGAAATTTACCGCCTCTCAAGGAAAATTTGTGAAAAGATAATTGATCAAAAACAATGTGGAACAAATCGCTGGAGAAAATGGTATTTGTTCATGACTTACTTAACTACACGGGTTTTGCTGCATAACCTGATACGTTTGACCATTAAAAATGGCATCGTTGGAAAGATCATTCAATTTGGTCCAAGATCCAATCATCGCTTTTGCAAGACGAGCAACAGTATTCTTAAAAATATAAAAAAAATTTAAACCTCTACATGGCAATTCATCTATGGCTCTCATTTTTCAATAACCTACGTCAACCTATGCTATAAAATACACTTGGCAAGTTCTATAGTAGACGTATGGTTATCAGACACGAGCACCTCGATGCGATGGATGTTTTTTCCCAAACCAAAATGCTTAGCCGTCAAAAGACAACCGACCGAAATGGATACATGACCCACGGACACAAGACCAACCAAACGCCCATCGATCGAAAATACCCTTTATTCGCGTTGCGGAGCAAGCGGGTCACCCTAGCGGGCCCCATCCACCCGGGGAGCCCGGGCCCCATCCACAGGGGACTGGTCCTCGTCCACACGAGGGCCCGGGCTCCGTCCACCCGGGTCTCCGGGCCCCGTCCACCCGGGGCTCCGGGGCCCGCCCATCAGAGGGCCCGGGCCCCGTCCACCCGAGGGCCAGGGCCCCGTCCACCCGAGGACCCGGGCTCCGTCCACCCGGGGCTCCGTGGCCCATCCACCAGGGGCCCGGGTCCCGTTCTCCCAGGGACCCGGGCCCCGTTCTTCCGGGGGCCCGGGCCCCGTCCACCCGGGGCCCGGGCCCCATCCACCCGAGGGTCCGGGCCCCGTTCTCCCGGGGGCCCGGGCTCCGTCCACCCGGGGCTCCGGGGCCCGTCCACCAGGGGCCCGGGCCCCATCCACCCGGGGGCCCCGGGCCCCATCCACCCAGGAGGCCCGAACCCATCCAACGGGGGGCCCGGACCCCATCCACCGGGGCCCGGGCCCTATCCACCCGGGGGCCCGGACCCATCCAAGGGGGCCCGGGTTCCATCCACCCAGGGGGCCCGGGCCCGTTCTTCCGGGGGCCTGGACCCCATCCACCCGGGGCCCGGGCCCCGTCCACCTGGGGCCCCAGGCCGACCCCTCACCCGTGGTGTCCCAGTAGGCATTTCTCGAAGCGGGCTCGTCCGATTAGATTAGGACCTCTCCCCCTCTCTCTCTCTCTCTCTCTCTCTCTCTCTCGAGCGGGCCCCCGACAGAAATTTCGGGGGGGTCAGCTGACCCTCTGACCCCCCCCTGGCTGCGCCACTGCCCATGGGTATGTTGGTTAGTTGTACGGGGACCCGCAGTTGCTACTGTACAGCGACCCTGAGTAAATTGTCCCAGCACCCTCACAGGGAACAACGAAAAGCTGTCAGAGGGCACGCACAGAAAACCTCAGCTGCTCTTGTACACGGACCGACAGTCGATATCAATGTTATCGGTCGTTACTGGACAGGACAGACGGCTAGAGTTAGGGTTCGTGGACACTTCCTAGAGTATTATGACTCTGATTTGGGGTGTATTTTATACCACATGTCGTCAAATGATTCCCGGAATCATACACCGTGTGGGATTAAAATACACCCTCAAGATCCGATTACTCCCTGAAGTGACACCTAAAAGGGGTGTTTTTTGAAGCGTACCAAAAACGCGCAGTTTCCAGGAGTCAGATTACACCCGGAATCAGACTTTTCAGACACTTCCTAGAGTATTATGACTCTGATTTGGGGTGTATTTTATACCACATGTCGTCAAATGATTCCCGGAATCATACACCGTGTGGGATCAAAATACACCCTCAAGATCCGATTACTCCCTGAAGTGACACCTAAAAGGGGTGTTTTTTGAAGCGTACCAAAAACGCGCAGTTTCCAGGAGTCAGATTACACCCGGAATCAGACACTTCAGACACTTCCTAGAGTATTATGACTCTGATTTGGGGTGTATTTTTATTCCATAAGGCGTATGATTCCGGGAATCATTTGACGACCTACGGTGTTAAAATACACCCTCAACCAGTGTCATAATACCCTAGAAAGTGTCTGATTCCGGGTGTAATCGGACTCCAGAAAACTGCGCGTTTTTGGTACGCTTCAAAAAACACCCCTTTTAGGTGTCATTATTTTTTTCAGTGTATGAACACACACCTATGTAGCTTGTACTGTCCAAATGCTTAACTTCAAACTCAGAGGGCATTTAAGTTAATTCTAGTATCCAAAAAGAAAAACATAAAATAAATCTTTCAAGTCTATAAATCAGTAAATAATCATGTCGTGTGTTTCTTTAAAAACATGCACAATCAAAAGGGAGAATAACTCGTATTTGGAAGAATTTCGGGTACGCATCTGCATCACAGTGCTCCATTGATGATATACCTACAAAACAAACGTCATTGAGCGATAGATTAATAATTGTATATTTCTGTATATTCGATTTAATGTATAATTCTGCGTACTCTTACCCTCCTGAACAGTGCGTCCTCTTAGCGTACATGCAATTCGCGCACAAAACAACCCCGAAACGTTGTGCAAAACTTCGCAAACAGAATATTGCACTGCACAGTATTTCCCCAGATAACCTCACAAGTTTCCCACAACAATCGCGGAAATGTACCTTATCTGAACTGCCAAGTATCAACATTATTGTACCATACCATAATACTATCATAACGCTCGAAAATAATATTCATCGCCTTAAACTCAACAGCGTCGCCGCTCAACGCCCACGTTCCGTTGGTGACAAGCACGCACTGGCGGCTTCATGTCACTTCATGAACTCGACAAACCCGCGTTGCTAAGCAACCGAAACAGCTGATGCGTACTCTTATCGCCCGCGTACTCTTACCCGCCCTTACCCTATTCGTACTCGTAGTACGTGTCAACCGCCTCTGACAGCTTCGTAACATGTTACGAAGTCACCAAAACTACTTAGTAAATGTTCAAATGGTTGCTAAATTCGAATTCAGCTCCAAAAACTAGCCTAGAAACATGTAAAACTCGAAAAAGTGACCCGAGGTCACCCGAGGTCACCAAAGGTCAATGACCTGACCTGACCTTCAGGTGACCTTGACACACACGGGAGTAACATCAAATCACATGTTTGAACGTTTGAAACCACGAAAAGCTTGCAAACACGCGGCTAGTGCGAGCCGACATACGCGAAATCGCGATTCCGGCCAAACATGGTCTCGGAAAAGAGGTCACAGGTCAAAGGTCATTTGGGTCAGGGTCATGAAATTTTCAGGGTAGGTGTAAAATTGATCAATGCGAGGGTACTGAAAGTTTCGTCGCGATCGGCCGCTTTTTACGCGAGTTATTCGCGAAAAACCATGGGGGGGGTCCATCCGACCCCCCCCCCCCTACACATGCGAGGGTTAAAGTGAGTTATAGTTCTTACCTTTTTCTCACATAATGAGATGTAAATAGGCCATTATGTGTAAGCAAGCATTTAGAATGTATTGCGAAATATCCTGCATAGGTTCAATATCAGTTTAGGAACCAGAGAACCATTTTCAGTGGATCCGGGCGGCGCTGGGATTAAATTGGCGCTAAACTGGGATTAAAGTGGCGCGTTCGGCCACGCTGTGGGCCGGTCCGCTGTCACCGACAGGTTGGGTCGGCTGGTCCGCCGTGTCGGCCCGTCACCGGTCGGCTGGTGCGCCGTCGGCCCGTCGCCGGTCGGCTGATCCTGGGCTGGTGCGCCGTCGGCCCGTCACTGGTCGGCTGGTCCTGGGCTGGTCCCGTCGCCGGCTGCCCGCCGCCAGTTGAGTGTGAGCACTGCCGGTGAGCGGAGCGGGCGGGACAGGGTTCGGGACCGGTGTATCTGGACACGACACGGCGGATCGCAGCGGCACGGGCGCCAGCCGCGCGGCGGGACCGGCCGACCGGAGTGTCTCCACAAACCGACCGGGCCCGACCGGAGTGTCTCCACAAACCGACCGGCCGACCGGAGTGTCTCCACAAACCGACCGGCCGACCGGAGTGTCTCCACAAACCGACCGGCCGACCGGAGTGTCTCCACAAACCGACCGACCGGGCCCGACCGGAGTGTCTCCACAAACCGCGCGGCGGCGCGGGGGCGGCGCTCGATGATGTGCGGAGCCGCCGCACAGTAGCGCTTGACGCGGTGTGACGCGGTGTGACGCGCTGCGCCGGCCGGGGTCGGACGGTGGCGGATACCGGTGAGCCCGTGCTGCAGGGGACGCCGTGTCTGGCTAGCCGCGCAGGCGGGTGGTGGTGGGTGGAGACGGAGATATCCGCCGAGTGCCGCCACTCAGCGGACGGCTGTGACCGGACGTTCCCGCGCCGGACTGGCGGTGTCGGTGTGACCTGGTCTCGGTGACGGCTGGCCCGGGCCGGCCGCGCCGACCCGCCCATGATGGCGCCCATGGAGCCGGCCGCCACGGTGTACCACAACTCGGCCGGAGCCCTGTTCAGCTCCTGGGAGAAGGGCCGCCTGCAGGCCAAACAGCAGGTGAGCGGTCGGACCGGCGCTGCCGCCCCCCCCCCCCAACGCCGCCCCACTCACCGCCGGCCCCCCAATGCCGCCCCACTCACCGCCGGCCCCCCAACGCCGCCCCACTCACCGCCGACCCCCCCCCCCAACGCCGCCCACTCACCGGGGTCCCAACGCCACCGCCGGTCCCCAACGCCGCCCCACTCACCGCCGGCCCCACCCCCCAACGCCGCCCCACTCACCGAGGTCCCGCCTGGGCCACCGCAGCCATGGGTCAGATCTGCTCCAATATCGTCCCTCAAATCAGACCTGTCCCATTATCATCCCCCAGGTTAGACATGTCCCCGCTCAGGTCAGACCTGTTCGAATATCACCCCTCAGGTCAGAGCTGTAAGAGAGCCTCAGGTCAGAGCCGGCTGCGAAGGCCAGCTGCTAGTGGTGCGGTGCAGGTGGCGCCTCCGTGGTGCGGGGTATGGGTCTGAGGGCCGCCGCCCCCCCCCCCCCCCCGGGGGCGCAGCCGAGCTCCGTGGCTCGCTGGGAGGTGAGTCGGTGAGTCCTCCCAGGGATGACTCACCGCGCCGCGGCCCGGTGAGCGGCCCGGGAGGCGAGTCGCTGAGTCCTCCCAGGGATGACTCTCCACGCCGCGGCCCGGCCGCGCAGTCTCACACTCTCGCAGCATTACCTGCGGTCAGATCAATGTGGTAGTGGCTGGACGACATCGTTTACTACAGAGAACAAACGGGGCTCAAACACTGCGCTCTGGCCATCTTTACATTTATCTATATCGCATTGACATATTTGCTGAGGATACAATATTATGTGCAAATTATGTGCAAAACCTCTCAATGCATTTTATCACTAAAAGGTTCAGTCAAAGGACTATATTCTTATATCGAGCTTGCTACCCCGCCATGTTGAACCCGCTCCTTAGTTAAATCCTAACGCAATCCATAATATTTTCAATATGCCTATTTCTTTGATACTCATCTGTTTCCGAAGGAGCACCGGTTAGACGGACTCCATTTTCCACCGTCCGACACTCGCGATCGAGTATGAACACCTGCTCACCATTGAACGGTGGCACGAGTGGTAACCGGACAAAAAGTCAAAAGGAATAAAGTCAAAAGACAAATAGTCAAAAGACAAAAAGTCAAATGCAAAAAGTCAAACAGGATAAAAGTCAAAAAGATAAAAGTCAAAACGGATAAAAGTCAAAAGACAAAAAGTCAAAAGCAAAAAGTCAAAATGTGCAAAAGTCAAAAACGCAAAAAGTCAAATGACAAAAAGTCAAAAATGCAAAAAGTCAAAAGCAAAAAGTCAAAACGTGTAAAAGTCAAAAGACAAAAAGTCAAAAATGCAAAAAGTCAAAAGGATAAAAGTCAAAACGGAAAAAAGTCAAAAGACAAAAAGTCAAAACGTGTAAAAGTCAAAAGATAAAAAAGTCAAATGGAAAAAAGTCAAAAGACAAAAAGTCAAAACCAAAAAGTCAAAACGGATAAAAGTCAAAATACAAAAAGTCAAAAAATGAAAAAAGTATAAAATAGAAAAGTCGAAGTCAAAGTCTGAAATAAAAAGTCAAAAGGATAAAAGTCGAAGCATCGATCTTTTCATCTTTTGAAAAATATTATACAGCGCAACGTACCCTACCCACTGAAGTTGTAAGGAACATGTGAGTACGCGAGGGATTCTGACAGGTACCGGGGTCCGCAGCAGCGGGGCAGGGACGCTGGCTGCGGTGGTGGGGCCCACGCTCACATAATACGCGTTGAGCGCTTCCGGCGTGCACGCTGGCGCAGCAGCAGTGGCACTCTTCCCCGCCCCGATCACCGGCCGCAGCACTGTCCACATCCTCGCCGCTCCTGCCTCACGCAGCTGGTCAGCATAGTATGCCGCGTGGTCACGTCTGATGGCCGCTCGACACTGCCGGTTCACCACCGTATAGGGCTCGGCGCGCGGGCCGAGCAGTGCGCGCCGCCGCGCCAGCAGCGCTCGCGTGGCGTCCGTGGTGCGCGGAGCACGTCGGGCGGCGGCAGCCCCTCCCCCATGGGAGCGAGTGAAAAGCAGTGCCTCCTCTAAGCAGTTTTGACTGGGGGGCCCGATCACGGGCAATGACTAAGGTAACCCCTACCAAAAACGTCTAAGACTAAAAAATGACTAAGGCACCCCTCAGTGACCAGTTTGGAGGATGACTGCGGGGGCTGCAGCTCCCGCAGTTAACATGTTAGAGGAGGCATGGGTGTCGTTTTGTATAGGCATGGTAGGGCCCGAGCCCTACCAATAATTTTGGAAATTTAACATTATGCCTATGGCGTTGCGTGGAAAGAATCGCTTTGAATTGGCAAAAATTTACATTAGAGCCCTACCAATAATTTTTGGAAAGTGTTGCCCCTGAGAGGAGGCCCTGGTGAAAAGCCAAAACCTCAAAATAAAAAAATACCATGTGATTAACGCTTAAATGACGTCAATGGACTTAAAGTAAAAAATACAAAAGACGAGATAATTTCAAAATTTTGAGTTGCAATTTTTGTCCCCTCAACTTTCAACCTACCCCATCAACTTTTCAAACGTTCCCGGGTCACCACTGCCCCATCGTGCAATTCCAGTGCTATGGCAAAGTTTTATCTGAAAGTTTAAACGTGCCCGATAGACTGGACGCGGTCCCCTCCGTCCACTCACGCTCTCTGGTCTCTGTACGGTCATCGCTGACTGGTCCAGCATCCAACGCGCTGGGTTTATAGAAATTTGGTTAAAAGAAATGAACATATTTTAATGAACGAATCCATTAAGTAATAAAATGAACATGATTCACAGGTTATTATTACATGTGGGAGCACTGGCGCTGGAACTTTCTCAATGTTGGAGCCGGGCTCGAGGCAGTTTGAACTCATTTCTTTCCATGCAACGCCATAGGGTTAATTACGAGCGAACGGTGTCTTATGGTTTTTTAGATACCTATATGACTTTTTACTTTTGACTTTTTCTTATTTGACTTTCCATTTGATTTTTATTATTTTGACTTTTTTGCCGTTTTTCACTTTTTGTCTTTTTACTTTTCGCGTTTTTTGACTTTTTGCCATTTGACTTTTTGCTTTTAACTTTTTGCGTTTTTGACTTTTCGCCATTTTGACTTTTTGCCATTTGACTTTTTTGCTTTTGACTTTTTTCGTTTTTGACTTTTCGCCATTTTGACTTTTTGCCATTTGACTTTTTGCTTTTGACTTTTTGCGTTTTTGACTTTTTGCCATTTTGACTTTTCGCCATTTGACTTTTTGCTTTTGACTTTTTGCGTTTTTGACTTTTCGCCATTTTGACTTTTTGCCATTTGACTTTTTGCATTTTTGACTTTTGGACGTTTTGACTTTTTGCCATTTGACTTTTTGTCTTTTGACTTTTATCCGTTTTGACTTTTATCCATTTGACTTTTTTCCATTTGACTTTTATCCATTTTGACTTTTTGCATTTGACTTTTTGTCTTTTGACATTTTGTCTTTTGACTTTTTGTCCTGGAATCGGCACGAGTTCCCGCAGCCAGTCGATTCTGGGCGGCGCTGCTCGGGTAAACGGGTACGGCTCAGGTGTACTGTGGCCGGGTACACGGGTACGGCTCAGGTCCTGTGGCCGCGGCGGGTACACGGGTACAGCTCAGGTACTGTGGCGGGTACACGGGTACAGCTCAGGTCCTGTGTCCGGGTACACGAGTACGGCTCAGGTCCTGTGGCGGGTACACGGGTACGGCTCAGGTCCTGTGGCCGGGTACACGGGTACGGCTCAGGTCCTGTGGCGGGTACACGGGTACGGCTCAGGTCCTGTGGCGGGTACACGGGTACGGCTCAGGTCCTGTGGCGGGTACACGGGTACGGCTCAGGTCCTGTGTCCGGGTGCACGGGCACGGCTCAGGTCCTGTGTCGGGTACACGGGTACGGCTCAGGTCCTGTGGCGGGTACACGGGTACGGCTCAGGTCCTGTGGCGGGTACACGGGTACGGCTCAGGTCCTGTGTCCGGGTGCACGGGTACGGCTCAGGTACTATCCTGTGGCCGGGTACACGGGTACGGCTCAGGTCCTGTGTCCGGGTGCACGGGCACGGCTCAGGTCCTGTGTCGGGTACACGGGTACGGCTCAGGTCCTGTGTCCGGGTGCACGGGCACGGCTCAGGTCCTGTGGCGGGTACACGGGTACGGCTCAGGTCCTGTGGCGGGTACACGGGTACGGCTCAGGTCCTGTGGCCGGTACACGGGTACGACTCAGGTACTGTTGTGGCCGGGTACACGGGTACGGCTCAGGTCCTGTGGCCGGGTACACGGGTACGGCTCAGGTCCTGTGGCCGGGTACACGGGTACGGCTCAGGTCCTTTGTCCGGGTGCACGGGTACGGCTCAGGTACTGTCCTGTGGCCGGGTACACGGGTACGGCTCGGGTCCTGTGGCCGGTACAGGGTACGGCTCAGGTACTGTTGTGGCCGGGTACACGGGTACGGCTCAGGTCCTGTGGCCGGGTACACGGGTACGGCTCAGGTCCTGTGTCCGGGTGCACGGGTACGGCTCAGGTACTGTCCTGTGGCCGGGTACACGGGTACGGCTCAGGTCCTGTGTCCGGGTGCACGGGCACGGCTCAGGTCCTGTGTCGGGTACACGGGTACGGCTCAGGTCCTGTGTCCGGGTGCACGGGCACGGCTCAGGTCCTGTGGCGGGTACACGGGTACGGCTCAGGTCCTGTGGCGGGTACACGGGTACGGCTCAGGTCCTGTGGCCGGTACACGGGTACGGCTCAGGTACTGTTGTGGCCGGGTACACGGGTACGGCTCAGGTCCTGTGGCCGGGTACACGGGTACGGCTCAGGTCCTGTGTCCGGGTGCACGGGTACGGCTCAGGTACTGTCCTGTGGCCGGGTGCACGGGTACGGCTCAGGTCCTGTGGCCGCGGACGGTGACACCGCGGACCGGTGCCGTGTCACCACCGCGCCGTCCGGTTCTCCGATCTGCGGCCGCGTCACCAACCGCGGCCGGTCGGATTACTGTATA